AGGTGTGGAGGGTGGAGACATCTTTTAGGGATAAATTTATTAAAGGTGAACTCTATATTCTAGCATAAAGGAAAGGAAAGAAGTTGGTAGAGTACAGGTACTGACCACTATCAGATACAGGCTACTGGGCATGATGGACTGGTGTGACCTAATATGGCAGCTCTTATATGTTTGTGCCACCTGCAGCTGTTGCATTTTTGTCCTCCCTGTAATGGGATAAGATATTTTCTAGCTGCTGGTCTGGGCTGATATTTTGGTGGTGAAACAGAATTATTTGAGGGATGAGTGGTGGAGTTAAGGTGAGGGAAAACCGAGTTCTGACCCTAGGCTAAGGAAGAAGAGTGGGGAGCTGCGGGGAGATGGGGAATAGTGCAGAATATAATATTCTGTTGGAATTGTATGTTTTTTTACCTTGGGCTCAGATGGCTGTTTTTCTTTGCTTTATCTATTCACACAGGACACAGAGGAGAGGACTGAATCAGCTTTAGAATTAGTGCACAAACGGAGAAAAGTTTGACTGGCGCTCCGCCCTGATCTCTGTAGTGGTAGTACACAGCATTGGGCTAGGTCCCTGAGATCACATCAGAATGAAAAATCCAGTTGAAATCCTTTCTTAATGGCTGATGCACAATAGCATGTACAGCAGGTGTAGCAATCAAACCCTATGAAAATAATTACTTTAAATAAAGTCTGATTCAGTTAGCAGAGAAGTCACTCACCCGATGAGTAATCAAAGTCTTTTGGTAACAGCATCTGCTCCCAAGGGTTTATAGGAACAGAAGGGGGGCTCTTGCAACATTGATCAATATGGTTGAGAAACTGACCTTGGAGTTTACCAGTTTTGCCTCATACCACATATAAAACAGCTACTCTATGTTCTAGCATCACAACATGCTAAGGAAGAAGCCAATTTAATATGGTATCTGCAGAACTTAATTTGAGTAACAAGGCATCTGAATTGCATCGTTTACTCCATTATTTGTGCAGACTAAGTTCTGGGCATGAAATCGCATTTTCAGAGATTTCGTGCACAGAACTGGAACAGAATATAGCTGGAAACAGCAGCAAATTTGATTACAAACACAGATGGCCACTTTTTACTATAGGCTTCAATTTAAAAAAAAGCAGATGCTGTCAGGTTTTCAACTAACCATTGAGCTCTGTCATAAAAATTCAGCTTGTGGATGAGACATGCCTTGCTTTAATCAGCAATGTCCCCTTGGGTCACTAAGGAGCAGCCTCGATGAAGGACGTCCCGTCCCATCCAATCTTGTTAAGCAGCCAAGGTCTGCAAAGTTTGCTATTGACTTCAATAGGAGCAACAGCAGGCCCCAAGACAGTGTAGGGTATCTGGGATTAAGACAGGGTGTAAATGAGGGATCCTCAGAGTCCTGTAAGAAACACAGAGGATCCTGGAGAAAGGAGACAGAATAGGGGAAAAGGAGGCTCACATCAGAGAAGGTGGAGAGAACGGTCTAATCACAAAACTAGTATTGTACACCTTCCTTCTGTGCTCTCCTAACTATTTTGCTATTGCTGCTTTGAATGGTGCATAAACCAACCAGAGAACAGAATCAGCTTTAAAGAGGACCCCAAAGGGCAAAGTTTGACTGAGGCCTAAGCAGCTTATACATTTGTTTGCTTTAGGGAGCAAAGGGAAAATATATCCCAAAGTATCCTCACATCCCGACCTCCTGAAGGTTGTTTTTTATTCAGTAGAACTTCCCTTTTTATGCCCTCAACCCCTTCGTTGGCTCTTATGAATTAATTTCATAACTCCTCAGAAATGGACAAGATCCCCAGCCTGCCCCCAAAATCAAGGCAATTATTGTGGTGTCCCTAATACCCTGGAATGCTCAAATGTCTAAAGCTGTCTGAGTAATGCCAGGTAAGGTTGGGCAAAAAGTCTGTCTGTCACAGTGACACAAACAGTTGGTGAATATCAAAAAGGGTTTTGCAGCACCACATTTTATGATGCCTCTTCAAGTTGCATGCAGCCGTTGGGCCAAATTCTGCCCTCAGTTACACGGTTGTAAGTGCAGAATTGCATCACTGATTTTCCTCCAGGCTTATATCAGTGTAACAGAGCAGAATGTGACCCGAAATCTCACAAAGCTAAATAATACAACTAAATAACATAACTATTATTAGGAGAAAAGCATCAAAAGTTGAGTCTTAATATCCACCAGAGGGAGCCCACAGAAACCTCGTTCTGGTATGTAATGGGCAGAGCTGCCACAGGGTGTATGAGGACTTAGTTCAGTCCTATTTTGCCACCGTCGGGAATACTGCTCCATCCTTGATCTGTTGAACTAACAGGGAAAATGTATGCTGCATATTTATGAAAGCTTCCAGACAGCCCAGAGCTAAAAGGCTCTGAAATAGACTTCCAAGGAAGTGAGTGCATGCCTTATTGTTAAGGCTGTGAGTTTGTCACGGAAGTCACAGATTCCATGACTTTCCGTGACCTCCGTGACTTTTGCAGTGGCCAGTGCAGCTGGCTCAGGGGCAGCTCGAGCAGCCCCTGCACCAGGCACACCAGCCACTGCTGGGGCACTCTCGGGCCACCAGCCCGCCCCCACCCCCAGCAGCAGCAGAGTTTGGGTGTTGTAGGGGGCAGGAGGTTGGGGCACGGGATGGGGTGAGGAGCACTCTGGGCGGCGCTTACCTGGGGGGCTCCCCGGAAGTGGTGACACCCCCCTCGCTCAGCTGCTATGTGGAGACGTGGCCAGGCAGCTCTGCAGCAGACTGCCCAATGGGAGCTGCAGGGGCGGTGCCCTGGGCGGGGGCAGTGCCCTGGATGGAGGCAGTGCACAGAGATGCCTGGCCATGCCTCCGCCTAGCAGCTCAGCAAGGGGGATGTCACTGCTTCTGGGGAGCACCACCCACAGCCCACCTCACCCTGTCATGTGCCCCAACCTCCTGCCCTCTTCCACACCCAAACTCTGCTGCTGCTGTGTGTGTGTGGGGGGGGGGGTGGACCCAGGTAGGCAGGCTGCTGGCTCCACTAACCCCCCCTCAACACCAGTGGGGATCCCGAGTCACACACCACTGCCCATGCCCCTATAGCACCAGGGGGGCTCCTGGGCCACACAATGCTGCCTGTGGCCCCCCCAGCACCAACGGGCGTCCTGGGCTGTGTGCAGCTGGCTCCTGCCCCAGCAGGAGTCCTGGGCAGGGGTGAAAGTAAAATTGAACTCTTACTGGTACGGGGCTGGCTCTGCCCGCCCCCACCCCAGAAGGGGTGGGAACTCAGGTGTGAGGGCCGGGGCTGGTGGTCAGCATCCCCTAGCCAGCCCATCTGCACTGCCTGGCCTGTGCTGCCCAGGGCTCCAGCAGTGATTTAAAGGGCCTGTGGCTTTTAAATCTCTGGCCTCAGGGTAGCTGCTCCTTCCCCCCCCATTGGTGGCCCGGGAGGGGCAAAAGGGGCAACAACGTTAAAGCAGGGTCCTTTTTCGTGGCAGCACTTTAACATCGGCTGTACGAGCTGGTACTGGCAGCCACTTTTTACCGGTACCGCCTTATTTTCACCCCTGGTCCCGGGCTGTGTGCCACCACCCACCCCCTGCAGAACCCGGGCCACCCTCCCCCAGCACCCACAGGGCCCCCTGGAAGCCCTCCCCCAAGTTTTATTCATGGGTATTTTTAGTAAAAGTCATGGACAGGTCATTGGCAGTGAATTTTTGTTTACTGCCCGTGACCTGTCCGTGACTTTTACTAAAAATACCCATGGCTAAAACATAGACTTATTCACTGTTTATGTCATTTTAAATTGGATTAGACAAAACTCTAGAAAACATTCTGCAGAGAATATCCTGTATTGGCTTAAAGGTGGACCAGATAATTGCTAGTTCCATAATTCTATAATCCCTAATGATTCCAATTATACTGCCCAATGCAATTAACTACTGGTTGGGAAATGTTCTGTTGTACTGTACATGAGAAATTTTTACAGCATTGCAAGTGTAAGCAGGGTCAGAATGAATGTTTCCCTGACAGCTAGCTGGGAGTGGGAGAAACTTTAGATTTGTTTATGCAAATACAGTTTGCTCCTGCTCTGCTTACATATTCAGTAAATACAGCGGTGTCAAAGTGATCAACTCTGGCTGGTGTTGGGTACAAATCACCTTAGTACTGAATGCAGGGGTAGTGAAATATGGTTACCAATGTTGTAATTATTGTAGGAATACAAGAAAGCAGGACTGTGCTTAACCTGTCCCAAATGAGGGGGCCACCCTCAGTTGAAAGAACCTTGTTAAGCCAGGGGCTCAAAAGTCAGAGCCCTGTGAAAGTAAGAGGGGTGGGGATAGGTATCCCCAGCCAGGAGACTGCAAAGCCTCAGCCAGGGTTCTCCCTAGACTGGTTTAACCTGTTCCTCCCCACTGTTAAAAAAATAGAGCTAAACAGGATTCATTAGGAACCTATTTGTTATGTTAAATACCCAATCAGGGCTGAAATCAGTTGTGGTAGGAAACTGCCAGAACTCAGCTCGAAGTCAAAAAAGCAATCGAGAAACTGTATCCTCTTGAAATTTCAGCTTATAACAATGTTGGTATGTTATATTGCTCTGACAAGGGGTAGGGGGATTCTAACCTGGTGGGAAATAACTGTTTGTCTGTGCAAAAAAAGGAGAGCTAAAAATCACTGAGAGCTGAAATCACTTGAGATGAGGCAGTGTTTCTGCCCAGCCTGCAAAGAGCTGAAAATTAGAGACTGATGTGCAGCTGTCATAGGCAGAGAGGCAGGTGGCAGCAGAAGGTGACTGACAGTCAGCTGGAGAACGAGTGGCTGGTGCAACAGAGAGGTGCGATGATCGGCCAACGGAGCAGCTGGCGGAGAGGGGTGGCAAGTGTGTGCCCGAGCAGCGGAATGAGTAAGGTACCTCTTTACCCCACCCAGGGAGGGAGGTGAACTCTGCAGATACATCTCTGAATCTGGGTCTGCACTGACCAAGGACAGCAACTGTGAGTGGGGTGCAGAGAAGGGTTGGGCATATGAAAGGGACTATTGGGTTGCTGGACTTAAGAACATGAGGGGAAAAGGACACTGCCCAACCTATTTAGGGGTGGGTCTTTTACTCATGGTTTATGTTTATGAACCCTGTTTGCGGTGTTTTTCCAAATTAATGCTGAGTTACTTTCCTCCTTTTATTAAAAGTTTCTTTTCTACACTCAGATTCTGTGCTTGCAAGTGGGGAAGTATTGCCTCTCAGAGGTGCCCAGGGATGGTGTGTAAATTTCCCAGGTTACTGGGTGGAGGCTCGAGCTGGTTCTCTGTTGTATAAATGGAAAAGGATCCCTAGATTTTGAACCCGGCCCTAGTTGCTGCTGGCACCACCTGGCAGAAGGGTTACATAAGCTATTAGAGGAGATACCTCATTCACAGGGACAGGACTGCAAACAAGCTATGTTTTGAGTGAAGGTTTGCTGTTTTTAGTTTCCTACCCACTCATTTGTAATTTCCCCCCTTCAAATAATTTTGTTTACAGATATTATATAAAGCTATTGCACAGGGGCCAATCTGTGCTGAGCTGTAATCCTGGTTTTCTCTGCAGCCACAGGTAATACACAGCCTTTCTACCTAGAGACTTCTATGGGCCCCATCACAGACATGAATACATTTAGCCTCACAAACCCTGAGGAGCATTATTAGCCTCACTTTACAGAGGAGGAACTGAAGCAAAAAGAAGATGAGTGACATGCCCAACATCACACAGGAAATCTGTGTCTCAGGGCCAAGAAGTGAACCCAGGGGTTTCTTAGGTTCCACTCTAGTGCCTTACCCACGAGACCATCCTTATCTTTTGTGTGCCTTGCTTTCCCCATTGCTCAAGTTATTCTTCATAATTGATATTACTTAGCACTTAGAAACCCCAAACATACATATAGTAAGAAACAGCCCTAGCCCCCAAAAGCATACAATCTAAATAGACAGAAAAGACAAATGGAGTGGGGGATAAAACAGACACAGAAGTGAGCCAGGAATAGAACCCAGTTCTTGAACAGCGATACCGGCTTACTTCACAAGAGTGCTGTAAGATAACAACATAAAGTACGTGAAATATGTTAGTTCTAATAATACTTCATTGCCCCTCAGAACATAGTAAACTTTGGAAGGTCTCACAGTCCAGGGCCTACCTGCGAGGCATGTTGTGTGCAGAGTGCTGTGGACATTACTTTAATATTTCTAAACCATGTGTTTTAGAAGATGAAAAAGTGACATACACATGCTTGATGTGTTGTTGTTATAACCCTGGGTTGTGTTCCTTCCTGATTCTTCTAGACACTCATTTGAATCTCAAGCTCCCCAAGGAATAGCCCTTAGAGGGAAACAAAGAAACAGTCACACGCTCCAGCACAGGAGATAGACTAGCCCTTCAGCCAGTGATATTTTGCCCTTTGTTCCACAAACAGTAAAGCACTTACTTTAGCACTGGGATTGTTTGACTGGAACCATACCCCAGCAACCAGGTTCCCATGAATACAAAATGACTGCATCAAAACAAGAAGGTGGCAGGGTTTTGCAACTTTAAAAGAAGTAGCCCTGTGTGGGCTTAGAATAGTGAAAGTATTTAAAGTCCTTAAGAGATGGGTTTACAAAAATGCAGAGGCTGTTTGAGTTGTCTGTTGATACCTCTTGCACTTTGGAGTATTGTTGTTAATATCCTGTTATACTTCCCTAATGGGAAAACTTCATACGCCACCAGTAACCAGCTCACCAACTACGTGTGGTATTTTGAAGGAATATGTTTCTCTGGTGTGATGGTAAGTGTCGGTTCTGTGGATTTTATTGAGTTGTATGCTAGTGCAAATGATGTTAGCACAATCACATCTGTAGGGATAACCCTGCAGCAAGGTGTGATTGTGTCATGATCTTGCTTTTAAAGGGGAGATTAATTATTTTAGCTAATTTTATAGGCAGTAAATTTGATCAGCTTTAAAAAATCAAGGGCATTGATCATGGACAGCTGAACAAAATTGGCATGTACGTGATTTTTTTTTTTAACATGATTTTGGGAGGTAGGTTTCCATGCTTTTTGTCATATAAGCAAAGCTTGTGCAGTAGTGTGTGGGAGGGGATTGGCTAACCATCTACTTGGGTTTGGGAGTTATGCTAAAAGTGAAAATTCTTATATATGTAACTGCAAATCTGACTGCAGATACTGTGCATATTATACCACGATGTGCTATGGCCACTAATCAGTAAAGCTCTGGTGCTGTGTAAAAACTTAGACAAGTCAATCAATTACAGTCAGTGGCAGATCACGCACAGTAACTTTTTTCTAACAGATTTTTAATATTCTTATCTGTGGTAACATAGTCAAGGGTGCTGGAACAATTTGCATTGTGGGGGTGCTGAGAGCCATTGAACCAAACTGTAAACCCTGTATATGGTGAAAACCACTTCAAGCCAGGGGGTGCAGTAGCACCCCCAGCACCGCTAGTTCCTATGAACATAGTACACAATGTTAAAAAGCCACAGCCCTCTTATGTGTTTAGACAGGTATCTTATATTATTAATGTCAATTCTATTTGGTAGGGTCTTTCTACTGATACATTAAAAAGGGAAAGATGTAAAATGAATAAAGATGAGACCTAATTTTGAAACTATCACTGTGCATGTTCTACATCAGTCTGAAAAATGTCAAACTTGTGGTGATCAGAGAAAATTTACTGGAGGCCCAGAAACTCAAATGGAGAAACACTGATAAGCTGGAGGTTTGAAAAGCACCAACCACAAAAATTAGAAATACCCTATATAGAGATTTCAAAACTTCCATTTAGCACTTTTCCATTTCAGAGCCCTTCCATTGGGAGTTCATGAGAGTTACCATTGTCCTCATTTTACAAACAGAGAATCGAATAGCAAGAGGTTCAGGCTGTGCCTACACCAGGGTATTTTTACTAAAATTTCCCATTGTAGTTACTATTGGTTCAGTTCCAACGGTGGGATCATCCATGAGAGTCCTAGTGTAGGCAGAAATCCAGATGGCTGCTAGTATTTTAAGCAGATCTACACAACATGGTGCTTAAAATGCTGATATTGCCAGCACCTTGTCTACATTAGCACTCCTCCTCCCACCTTCCCCATTCCTCCAACCCAGAGGGGCCATCCCTTCCCTTCCTCATATGGCCCTTACCAGAGGCCCCTTGGATACGTTTTTTTTAAATGCTGGAAACTATTATGAACTTAAGTCCAAGATTTACTTGGTGAAATTACCCAACCAATGTCAAATAACTTAAAACTTTGAGAAAAGTCCTAAGCTGCATGTGGAGGATTGGCAGAGAGAGAAGTGAAGCTCATTAGTTCTTTTCTGCAAAATTTCCAGTCATGTCTTACTAGGGCCCTGACTCTCCCCTGCCATGTACCTGCAGCAGTCATGTACTTCTGTGCAAAGTGGGTGTAAAGTGCTACCAGTTCAGACTGGTGGCATTTCACACTTACTGGGCACGGGCAGGAGAGAATCAGGTGCGGGATCTCCAGTTATTCCACTCATCTTACAGTCTCCCCCTTACAGATGCTTCTGTTAGCAGCACTTCTAATAACACTGGAGCGTGACACGTTCTACCAATGCTGCCAGAGCGAGAGCTGTAACAAAACGTACAGGGTGAGTCGTGGTTTTGTCTTTTGTTTCTCTACTCAGCATTCATTCTGAGTTCCCCTCCTCCCCCATTTCCCCAGCCAAACCTTGACTTCCTCTTTATGGCTAGTTCCTTCCTCTCTCTGTATTAGGACAGAACCCTGGGTGAGGGTAGAGACAACCCCACGGGTCATCACAAGTCCAGTTGCTTCCTCCAACTGCACAGGTGAAGTCCCCAGGAAACAAAAGAGTTAAGGAAGAACACTGATGGCCTTGGACTGTTGTCTTTCAACTCTCTCCCCTGCTGAATTGCTCCTTCACCTCCTCACACCCCCTTACATTAGATGGAAAATAAAGAATCTGCGTAAATGCTGATTGGGATGCAAACAAGTCTTATGAGTGTTGAAGTGCCCTCCTGGCCTGCTACAATGCGTTTGCAAAAGTACATTTTAAAAACCAATGGGAATAAAACTGTCTTATCTCTGGAGAAATTTGGCATTTCCCCTGAGGACACAATCCCAAAAGAGAAAATGCTGTTGCCAGGGATGGGTCTCACTGTTGTCCTGATCCCATTTCCTATTGAATTTTGAACAACTATGCCTGTAAGGTACAAACCTGGCAAAGGAGCCAGGGCATGTTGTTTGGTGGTTGGCTCTGATTAGGTGAAACCCCCATGCTGATAACATTTATTCTCTCTTCTATACAGAGTTTCATTTCAGTTGTGTTAGCCCTGCTTGGAATTGCTTTTTCGGGATATAATGTCATCATCTCTACTTTGGGCTTAGTGCAAGGCCCATTCTGCAATACTCCAGCTGGCTGGGGTTATATCTTCAAAGACACTGCAGGGGGGTAAGAAACATCTTTATATCTACTATAAGAAACTATACAGAAAAAAGATAAAAAGGTCCTTTTGGAGGTAATTTATAGATAAAAATAAATTTACCCATTATCACAGCATATGTATTTTCTTAGCTTTTAAAAATCTTTGCTCCACAATGAATACTGCATATTTTAAATTTGTTTCTGAGCAGAACACACAAAGGAAAAAAAAATTATTTGCATCTTTACAGAGAAAGTTTAATGTTCAGCTAATTTGGCTAATCTTCCAGTGAGATATCAAAGCTCCTAGCATATGTGAAGTGCAGATCTAGAACCTGTGACTGCTTTGAATGCAGAAGTTTGAAACCATCTCCTTTTCAAGGATAAGATTTTTTAATATGGAAATATTTCAAGATAAAGTCAAGTTCTTCCAACTTCCAGTGGAGTACACTAAGCATTGGACTAGTCATGAAATCCTAGATAGAAGAAGATGAAAAGCCAAATTCCTCAGCAAGTATGGGATTGTTCCCTAAAACAGTGGTTTTCAACCTTTTTTCATTTGTGGATCCCTAAAAATTTTTGAATGGAGGTGCAGACCCCTTTGAAAATCTTAGTCTGCAGACCCCCAAGGGTCTGCAGACCACAGGTTGAAAGCCATTGCTCTAAAATATAGGAATTACTGACTTCAGTTTAGAGTAGAGACAAAAGAAGTGGATCCTTATACACATGTGGTGTATTCTCTATTTCTATGTTATGGTGACACCATTGAGACACATACTAATAATGGTAATATTCTGTTGGGTTGTTGTTTTTTTTAATTCATAAATAAAAAAAAGCCTGATTTGAACATGAAGGGCCAGATGCCAAGTGAGGGACTCTGGATTCAGCCCAAACTGTGTAATTTATTAATAAAGGAGAAATGGAGGCCAGCACTGAACCTATTAAAAACCTCACAAATACGACTACAGTGATGGTTCTTGGAACCAATAATAGACCATGCCATCTCCAGTATTGCCAACTCCCACGGTATCAGGGAAGTGCTGCTTCTTGCTAATGGCTAGATCAATCCTATATTGTTCGTACTGTGCCATCATCACCTGTATGAATGGCTGATACAAGTTAGAAGTTCTTTGACTGATATGTAATCTGTAACTCATCAATTCTAAAAAATAAAATAAATTCTATGTACTAGTGTGAATAACGTTGCGTTCATTGGGTCGGTGGTTCTCAAACTATTTACCATCCAGCCCTTCTTTTATCAAAGGGAATAAACTCGGAAGGGAGAGAGTCAAGAAAGCAATAGGGGAACTGCCTTCCATTTCCTTTCTTCAGGGTGAGGAGAGGGTAAGTGGTGTCTCCATCTGAGCAGCCAGGGAGAGGCATGCAGTTGCGTGCATTAAAGGCTGACTTTTCAATCTGAAATTATCACACATGGATGGAGAGGGACATCTGACTCACGATTTCTGATCTCTTGAGGATGGCAATACTGCATCTCCTTCACGTTGTTATGATGATACAACAGAGAAGGTGAATGACATACTCTATAGGGCTAGCAGGGAGACAGAGGGTGGCCTGAGGCCAAATGGGAATTACAAATGGTGATACTCCCTTAGGCAGTGCCCCCAGTCACCACTCCATCCTCTTGTCATAGTGAAATATTATTTGGGCATTACTGATCTATGCTGGTTAAAAAACTCCAACTTCAGCTAAAGTATAATCAACTGCAGTTTGAGTGATACTCATGAAATAGAAGGGACCTAAATAGTCTCTGTTTAAATTCAGTTTGTATCATTAGCAGAAAATGCAGAACTTCTAACACTTCCATGACAAAAATGCAGTGAATTGAATGAAGAAGATGCATTCTGTGAATTCTGATCTGGATTCTGGGCTCAGTTACACCATTGTAAATCTTGAGTAACACCACAGGGTTTGATTGAGCTACTTAGGATTTACACTGGTGTAACTGAGACCAGAATTTGGCTCCAGGACATCAGAACAAACAGGTTTTATTATTTTGTATGATTACTATTAGAATTATTATTATTGAGTGTTAAATTTCAAGGCATTAAACTGGTCTAATTTCCCCATTTTTCTGTTTCTCTGGTAGTTACCTCATTGCGTACAGCTCCTGGTCTCAGTGCACTGAACCCGTGCACGTAGTGGAGTGGAACATCATTTTATTCTCTATTCTCATAGCCCTTAGTGGACTTCAAGTGATCATCTGCTTTCTTAAAGTGATGGCCGAATTAAAACAGATACTCTGTGGGACCTACTCTGTCTTTATACAGGTAACAAAAGACCTTGTGCCAAATCTTAGGGTGGTGTAAATCAGCATTGCTCCATCAACTTCACTCAGATGCCGATTTACACCAGCTGAGGATCTGGCCATTGTTTTTTATGAATTTGAAACATTACTTTCCTAATCTAATTTGTTTAGATTTGTTTAGATACCAGGCATTGTAGTCAAGTGCATTTAACAACATACTGTACTATTCAAATTCATCTTGCATTCCATACAACATGCAGGGATCCCAGGCTTCTCACTTAAACTCTTCTGATTGGGAATGTGGGGCTGTGAAGGTTAAATAAAATGACCCTGAAAATTAAACATCAGTACTTAATATAGAGAGAATACAGGACTTTGGTGTCAGTGAAGAGTGCTGAGCATCTACCTCCTAGGAACAAGTTCAAGTTTGTCTTTAACATCAAGTGGGTTTCATAGCTGAGAGAGTAAGAAACAACCTGGTGGGTTTTGGCACTCAAGAACTTGGTATGTATTTTATGTCAATGTGCATAATGTTGTTCTGTGGGACATATCAGCAGAGCCCTATTAAAATGACCAAGAAATCCCTGTTTCAGAAGTGAGGGTTTAGCACAAAGGGCTCCTGGTCTACAACAATACTACAATAAAAAATAACGTTGAATGACCTTAGTTTAAATAGGTGGTGCCACTAGTAGGCATTACGGTGTGAAATAATATTTTCAGCATGGCAGCCAGAAGTTATAAAAGTGTATGATAGGTTTCATTGTCTGCTCTGGAGGCTGGGTAGAGCTGGAAGTGCTAGCTCAAGAATGGCCACATTCATTAGGCTTTCGAAGCCTTTCGTGTTCTTATGCAGCCCACAATGTTCATCGTGGGCAGATCATTCAGCACAGCCTCCAGATTGTTTTGCTTTTATTAAACAGCAAGTGATTGTCATATCAAAATGCACTGGCAAGTGTTTCTAGAAGGGAAGGAAAACTCTAGCAAGTTTACCTTGGCCTATAAAGCAAAAGCATCTGCTGACATAGACAAAAAACACATTGACTGAGCAGAAGTATAGAGAAACTACAAATCATTAGTTTGTACTTTATGAAATGTTGAAATCAACAGAATTTACATTACTCAGTGAAACAAAGGACCATTCAATAAATAGAAGATGTCTGGAGTAAATGGAGATAAAAATCTCCTTTTAACAGCCTTTAATGGGAATGTCACTGTTTCAGGGATTTGAACTCCAACATAACACTCTGCTTGCCAGGGACTCAGGTAATAGACAGATTTGATTTGCCTGGAGCCCCAGTACTGCTCCCACTGAAATCAATAGGAGCTTTGCTTCTGTCTTCACTGATGACACAGTTGGGCGCTGTAGCTCACGATTTGTTAGTCTCTAAGGTGCCACAAGTACTCCTTTTCTTTTTGCGAATACAGACTAACACGGCTGCTACTCTGAAACCTGTTTTATCTTGAGAAGCTCTGTTGATTTAATATCATGTGGATGTTTCCATTGTGCAAACTGTAAGTTATACTGAGAGTTAATGCTACAAGTCTCCTTGACTTCTTCCCATTTCCTTTGACAGCCGGGGATTATCTGAATGTAGCAGAGAACGCTTCATTGCCAGCCAGGCTTCGCTCCTCCAGTGTTTACTGTTCTACATAGCAGATCTGTGGGTGCCATTAAAACTAATTTTCCACGGATTTCTTTTTCACACCCACTTCTCTCATGAAATGTACTTTTAGATTCACTTAAATGGTTTTTGATAGCTAAAATATAAGCTCTCCCATGTTTTCTTAAATACGACATCCATTTCTTAACCACAGCTAATCCTGAATGACAATGATAACGGTGTCTCTTTTGCTTTGCCATCCAGTTTGTGTTGTATGAGTGCTATGAAACTGCTTTCACACAGAAATCTCTAGTTTTCAATAAAGAAAGTGCTGTAAAGCTGCCATGCTTTCATAGATTCCACTGTTTCGTCTCCTTATTTAGGCTTTATAAATATTTCAGATGGTCTCCAAGGGCCTCAGTAAGTCAAGGGGAGTCTTTCCATTGACATCAGTGTATAGTGTCAGGCCTCAATTTCTTGATCAGTAGAAAATTACTTGATTTTAAGGCCAGAAGAGATCTTCTACTAGCCTGACCTCCTGCATAACACAGGCCACAAACCTCACCCAATATTCACCACTCCATCCAAACCTCACCCAATATTTCTGCATTGCATAACTTCTTTTTGAGCTATAGCATATATTTTAGAAAGATATCCAGTCGTGATTTAAAGACCTGGGTCAACTGCTTGGAAGACAGCTATGCTCAACATGGTATCATCAACATACCTAATAACAGGTTTTGGTTTCTTTATCTTTAGATACTCAAAGCCAAATAATCCCTTTAGAACATATTTTAGGAGAATTACTAAAAGGGCTTGCCTACGCAGCACAGCAAAGCACACCCGAGGGGTCTGATTTGTAAAGCACACTAGTGTGTTTTACTCTAACTGCCCCATGTAGACCCTGCTGAATGCTGCTGCACTTTAAAAAGGAACCTACTTCACATTAACACAGTCCTGTTTGAAAAGCACACCTTTCTAGTCTATATGGAACAGTTAGAGCGAGACACATTAAAGTGCTTTATAAATCACTCCCCTCTCATATGCTTTGCTGGCACCAAGTAGACAAGCCCTTAGGACAACATTAAATCTCGTGAGAAAAAAAAATCTAGTTTACAAATACCTTTCTAAATATAGACCTCATTTGGGAGGAGATTTTTGAGCCTATAAAAGTCAGCAGGAAAGGCAAAAAGAATATAGCAGTTCAAAGGGGATTTTCTATGACTCCATGGGTAGGCCATTAAAGTACCTGAGTTTACATTTGATAGATCAAATGTAAGTCTAGAACTCACAACCAGTTTGGGGTTTGTGCCTGCTTCTCAACAGTCTGCCCTGAGGTTGGTACTCATGCTCCTGAGACACTCCAGACAGCTTGACAGCTACTAGTTTAATTCCCATTATATTCTACAGGAATTTTCCATAAAAGGGGGAATTACAGCAGAATAAATGTAGGAATGGAGGTTGTTCGTAATTCTGAAATGTTCGTAACTCTGAACAAAACGTTAGGATTGTTCTTTCAAAAATTTACAGCTGAACATTGACTTAATACAGCTTTGAAACTTTACTATGAAGATAAAAATGCTACTTTCCCTTTTTTTTTTTAAGTAATTTATGTTTAACACAGTACTATGCTTCCTTTGTGTGTGTGTGTGTGTGAGTGTGTGTCTCTCTGCTGCTGCCTGATTTGGAACTGGAAATACACAATGAGGTATGTGGTTGACTGATCAGTTCACAATGCTGGTGTTCATAGCTGAAGTCCTAGGGTAATTAGAGAGCAGAGGAATGGGGTATACTTGGATAAAAGAGGGCGATTAAAAGAGCACCAGATGGATGGCCATTCTTAATGAGGGAAGAGACTTTGCTTCACACCTGTAAGGGCTTGTCATCTTGTAGGGGTCTCAGTGCCTAATGTCACAAAGGGTTTAGTCCCCAAGATCACATTCCAAGGTGGAATGGGAGGTCAGAGGTGCATGGTGGAAAGGAATGTTGGCAAAATATAAAGCTGCCCACTTGGCATTCCTTAGATCAGAAAATTTTCCCAGACCAGAACATTTCCCCCTTGACTAGAATAACACTGGGACACTGTTTTAGCAATCAAATATGTGAAGTTACAGGTGTTTGATTTGGCCCCCCCCAAATATTTATATCCAATGTGCTGAAAATAAAAACCTTTTCCAACCGAATATGTTGTTTAATCTGGATTTCAACCCTAGATGCAATGGAATTGCTATATTTTGTAGATTTTTTTTAAAAAGTTCTTAATGATTTATCTTTGATTGTGAAATCACATGAGTGGTGTGTCTCAAGAACAGAAACCCCCAGCACTGCAAAGCCTTCATTAGGTAAAAGCCTCCTTTGTATTGGTGAAAGACAATAAACAAGGTATTCTGTTCAGGCTCTGGGTTGATTAATGAGATAAGCAAGCAGTGGCTATTGAGAGAGGTTTTATTGAATTGAATGAGACCAGAAACTTTAAAGGACATTTACAGCAAATGGTTTACTGATATCTTTTGAACACCGCCCTTATTCAAGCACTCCTGCAATTATTCTAAGTATGGAACAAAAAGACATGGGTTTGTCTGGGAAAAGACATGAGCAAGAGACTAGAAGATCATGGAGCCAGATAGGAGACCCATAAGCCATAGGAAACAATGATGTTATTTGTAGGTATCATTATGGTTTGTTTTAGCACCACTGAGAACGGTTGACTGTTTCTCACAGTGTGCAGTGTTGTTGTAGCCCAGTGGGGCCCAGGATATTAGAGAGGCAAGTTTCAGAGTAGCAGCCGTGTTAGTCTGTATCCGCAAAAAGAAAAGGAGGACTTGTGGCACCTTAGAGACTAACAAATTTATTTGAGCATAAGCTTTCGTGAGCTACAGCTCACTTCATCGGATGTCCGAAGTGAGTTGTAGCTCACGAAAGCTTATGCTCAAATAAATTTGTTAGTCTCTAAGGTGCCACAAGTACTCCTTTTTTTAGAGAGGCAAGGTGGGTGAGATAATATCCTTGATTGGACCCACTTCTGTCGGTGAGAGAGACAAGCTTTCAAGCTTATACAGGAGCCCTTGTCTCTGTTTCTCACTGTGTCCCTCCAGCATGGTAACATCTTGTTGGTCCATATTTACTCTGTCAGAAGTTTCCATTTCACATCTGTGTAGTTTCAGACAAAGACATGTGACTTTATATTGCTCATGAAAAGAGCTGGCTTGACAGCTCTGGAGAATGGAATCTTCTCTTTATCCACCGAATAGGCAGCAGTTATGCAAGCATCTCCATGCTCCGTTGGTAATGACCCTTACTTGTGTCAGGGTCCACTGAGATCTAGGCTAAAACAGGCCATCAGATGATAAACCAAGGCTGGATTTGGATTAATGACCTAGAGGTAGGGTGACCAGATGTCCTGTTTTTATAAGGACAGTCCCGTTTTTTGGGACTTTTTCTTATATAGGCACCTGTTACCCCCCACCCCTGTCCTTTTTTTCACAGTTGCTATCTAGTCACCCTACCTAGAGGTGAAAACCTCTCTAACCAATTACCAACCCCAAACTAGATCTTTGTAACTAGCAGCACTGCTAGATCTGCCTGGTAGCTAAAATCCAGTCTGCATTCTTCCTACTTTGTGCCTATTCCCCTATTCAATGCTAACAGCAATTCTATACTCCGGACATAGCTGGCAACTTCATTGATGGTACAGGAGGCAAAGTAAACATCTGTTTCAGACATGCCAAACCCCTGGGGGAAAAAAACACAGAAATTGGGCTTGTTTTTGGCTTAATTGGCTTGTGAGTTGCTTGTTGGCTAGTTTTTGGCTTGTTGCTTGTTGTAGCTTATTGCTTCTTTTTTTTTATTGGCTCCCGGCAAGCAGGGGCAAGGGGGGAGAGAGTCGGGGTGCACTGTGGGTCTACCATAGTCCCAGACTGCACGCCCGGGGGAATCTAGTCACAGAGTGTTGGGGTTCTTAGAGAATGGCTTGTTTTGGCCTTGTTTTGAAATGGGATTAGCTTGATTGTTGGCTTATTGTGAAAGTCAGGGTGGTTATTTACCACGTGAAAGTTGGCAACAGTGATCTGTTTCCGCAGCTGCAGCATGTTGATTCGGCGGTGCTGACAGCAGAAAAAACTGGGTCTAGGCTGGGAGAATGGACCTTAGAGTCAGCAAACAAAATTGATATGCAAAAGAGGGAGAAGAGATTTGTTCCCTTGTGAAGAAAGACCACTGAACATAAAATGATACATGTGATACAGACTGCCCAAGTGTGTGAACAGACACAACAGGCCAAATTAATCCTGGTTGTAGCTCTAAAAAAGTTGCAAATTGCTCCCATATAAATGGAGCAGTAACTCTGAAACCTAATGGTAAAAAAGCCAGCACAATTATTTGCTACTGAGCCCTTTTGCAGGAATATCTGCCTCAGCTGCATAGGTACCAAAATTTCTCCTTGAAATCAATGGAAGTTGCACCTGAAGGTAGATGGGCTCAAACTGTCCAGTAATATACCTCTATTGCCCCAGAGAGTCACAGTAAAACAAACTGAGTCAATGGAGAATGCCTCACTAAGGACTAGATTGAAGGTGTTCAGCACAGGCCAGGCCTGCATTGGGAGTGAAGCAGAGCTCCACAGCGTCACACAGAGCACCAGAATCACTCTGCTTCCAGAGCAACCCAGTGGGGAAGTCTGCTGGGTCTCAGCAGTGTAGACGTTAGAGTCTAGGCTCCAGCCTGCGCCCAATTTCCAGCCCTACACCGTGTGCCCCATGAGCCCAAGTTAGTTGACTATGCTTTGAAATTCGCTGCTGCTCCTTTGCTGTGTACCATATAGAGAACTAGATAGTGAATCCTACATTTAATAGAGCTGTTATTTAAGGTATTTTGCAAAAAGCAAATTCGAGTATTTTATTTGTGTAAACGTGCTCTGAATTCCTGTATAGGAATGGTGATTAAAATTGCTACTTTGCTCTTTCTATGACCAGTTCACGTAAAGCAATGTTCAGATTGGCATGTAATGAAAAAGGAACCTGCTAGGTTTACCCAATATACTGGAAAATTAATTTTCCATCTGAAAGAGTATAAATCATTTTGGCCTTGCAATGTAGCAAAATAGCTGCTGATAAAATCTCATTTGAACTTTTTTGGCCTCTATGCAATGGGAAGTGCTGTTATTAAAGTGTGTCCTTGTGTCTGTTTCTGAATGTGAACGGAGATTTTCAAAAATGTCCAAGTGACATACAGGGGCGTACTCAGGGATTTAAATTTGACCACGCTTGGAGGGGTATGTTCTCCGCCTCCGCCACAGCCCTGGGGCCCATGCTCCTGCTTGCCTCCCCTTTTGCATACTCCTGGTGTCATAAAAGCACAAG